GTGTGTGTGTGTGTGTGTGTGTGTAAGAGAGCGAGAAAGAGAATCATTTTTCCTCTGTTTGTTTGTCTGTCATTAACTCTCTGTCTCCCCCTGCAGGGCTTGAGGAACAAGCCCAAGAAGACGGGACATGTCAAACCAGATCTCATAGATGTGGACTTGGTCAGAGGTGAGAAGTGTTTGTGTGTGTGCGTCAGGATCATTACACACCTGCTAAAGCCAGAATCTTCACAACATCACATTAACGTAACACACATGAACGTGAGATGCCGGTGTCGCCGTGCCAACGTCCTGTCACTGTGCATCTCGGCCTCCTTCGTCCTCATCCCTCTATCTCAGCTCTCATCTCTTCGTCTCTCGGTCTCACATTCATCACACGTTCAATTATTCATCGGATCAGTCAAATTCATCCTCATTGTTCTTTCATTGCACAGGAAGAGAGAGATAATCAACAAAGACACAAAGGAAGAGAGTAGAAGAGATGGATATGGATGATGGAGGAATGTGGAGAGAGATCCAGAGATTAAAAAAGAAAAAAGGGTTAGAAAAGGAATCAGAGAAGGAGAAAGTAAAAGAAGAAAAGAAAACACAGGATCCGTTGTGACTCCAGGATGAATTACGTGATGAGTTTTCTTCTCACCACAGATTTGTTTGCCTTAATTACTTCTTCTCATTAAACTCTGTTTTTATTCTCTTCCTCCTCAGGGTCGGCGTTTGCCAAGGCCAAACCCGAGAGTCCGTGGACGTCGCTGACCAGGAAAGGCATCGTCAGGGTCGTCTTCTTCCCGTTCTTTTACCGCTGGTGGATCCAGGTCACGTCCAGAGCCATTTATCTTTTACTGTTGGCTCTTTATTTACTGCAATGTAAGTCCATTAAGAGATGATTACCACTGGTCTGCTTCTTATTTTCACTCAAAAAAGAAAAAAATATTGCAGTTGTCCCTATCTCACTAAGTTATAAGCGAGAATAAAAATTCTGCATCTGTTCCTTTTTCTGCATCCGTGTAAATGTAATGAGTTATCTCTTGGACCGAGTCCCATCCCATCCGAACATATTAAGTAGTTTTTCCATGATCTTGCAGATTGTGGATACTTTGGGTACAAATCTGTACAGACACCAACATGGATGCTGTTGTTTATCTTCTATTTATAAAGTTGTAACAACTCGTGTCTCTGTCCGACAGTGGCAGCAGCTGTCCTGTATGTGTCCATCCCTCAGCCTCATGGGATACCGACCACCGAGGTGTTCGGAGCCATCTGGCTCATGCTGCTGCTCGGCACCGTCCACTGTCAGATCGTCTCCACCAGGACGCCGAAGCCCGCCTCCAGCAGCGGGGGGAAGAGACGCAGGTATGGACAGAGGCAAGGAAAGACGAATTACTGATGAGAAAGGGAAGGTAGAGGAGAGACAGAAATGATGCAGAGAAGGAGAGGTCAAGCAAATGAGGATTTATAGCATGGGGGAGAAAAGGTGGGAAGCTGCAGGTGAAGCAAAAAAGACGACAATATAGAGATGAGTCATGTAGGAGAGAGAGGACACTGCACCCAGAGAGAAGGGAGACACAGGAAGAGACAGAGCGAGAGAGCGGAGGAGGAAACTTGTGGAAACAGTATTTTGTTGTCTTTGTCGTTTGTTTTCTGCCGACTCCCCCGTCAGCTTCTCCCACTCAAAATCTAAATGAGTTTATCATGGAGAAGGTTTCAGTCAAATGAACGACTTCACAGTCCGTCATTTATAATCATCACAGTTTCTGTTCCACATTTGATCTTGTTCAAACCCAAATGGGACGAGACATTTACAGCTGTAAAATCACGAGGAAACTTCTCCCTGATAAAGAACAAAGTGATTCTCTGTGTGAAAGTAGAAAGTAGTTTGTTTTACTTTGTGTGTTTTTGTAGTGTTTAGATTTGCAGGTTGTGTTTTTGTTGGTTTGAAGCTTGTCAGTGTGCGGCTGCTTTTTCTGCCTCAGATGACGCGAAGACAATTTTCAGGGAAGAAAATTGGACGTTGTCACAGTTTTGAGAGGTTTTAGTGTTTCTCCTTCAAATCAGGATAATTTGTTATGAGTTACCACATTTATTTCACACAAAGTTGACTCTGTTCCTCTGAATGTTTCCCTGTATCTGTCTCTTTTCCTCGTTTAGCTCTTTTAGACGTTTCATCTCATGGACAAATCGGTTTTTGGGCAGGAATCACATTTACAACCCCAAATTTCACACTTTACATTCTCCACTAGATCCTTTCCATTTCTTTTTTAAGGAAATAACTCGGCTCGCAATCTGTTTTATTTCTCAAATAAGCTTCTTTGATGTCATGAACCAAAACCAGTTATTATTGTATTTTTCTTTTACCAGTGATCGTTGAAAATCATTCCAGATTCACCGGTTTCATCCTGCCTTTAAATTTAAAAAACAAAACACAAGTTCTCGCCCACATCTCCCCTCTGTCCTTTTCATTATGAGATGTGACGAGAGATTCGGAGCAATTCTGCAAAATCTAACTTATGTCTCTGTTCTGCAAAAATAGACCTTCACCGTTTTAGAAATGTATCATTTAATAAATAAACATATCAAATGAAATATGATGAAAGGTAAGGCTCCCTAATTACTTCTTATAACCCCAAAATGTTCTTTAGTCCCATGTTTACCAAATAATGTTTGGAAAATATAAAATAATAAAAACTATTATATTTGATTTTTTCTGAAAATGTCTACCTTTGCAGAATAAAAACCTAAAGGCAGATTTTAGAGGAATTAGCCTTTAACAGTTTCAGCCACCGTGTCCAGCGGGTCCCAGGATTGTTTTGTCAAAGTTAAAATCAAACTATCGTTACTGGGACGAGCTCCTGGTTCCCTGTCGACACGGTGCTGTAGCTCCTCAGTGTCCACTTCCGCTCTAAGTCTCTCTCCACCCTCTACTCTTTCCACACTGAAGGAAGTTGAGGAAGGCATCTCAGATGGAGGTGCATAGGGAAGGCGACGGTTCTAGCACTACCGATAACACACAGGAGGGGGCGCCACATTCCCACTCAGCCAGCAGCCCCACATACAGCCTGGGCACTCTCTTCCAAGATTTCTGGCATGATATCTGTAAAGCTGGGTGTGTATTTTTCGTTTCCGTCTTCCTACACGATTATATACATAGGCGGGGTCGGGCTTCAGGTTCAGAATCATTGAGAGGAATATTAGCTTTGAATCCTAAATGACTGATTCAATAAACGTACAAGGAAATAATGTAAAATCATCCCAATATCTAAAACTCAAAAAATTCTATTTTGTGTTTTCAAAATAAAAGCCTGAATCCCTGCCCTGACTCAGATCTAACCGGAGCTTCCTTAGCTGCAACGTCACCTCCTCTCCTGACGCAGTTTGAGCCTCCTGGAGATGAATTCGATGATTGACAATTGACCTGCTTTTGATTATATTTGCACCAAAACAGTAATGAAAGCAACATCTCCATCTCAAGTGGGAACAAGGAGACTTTGCAGCATATTTGAATGTCAATGCTGAACAAGCTACATTTGAAAGAAGCATGGGGTCATTACTCTTAAATTGAAAATTGACACCAATAATTAAATCGTTAGTTTCAGAGTTTAGTCGTCTAATAGAACGACTGACGTGAACGTGACCATTTGCAGCTTCCCCCTGTGCTTCTGCTCTGATCAGCTTCCAGCAACAGTGTGGAACATTTTAAGCCTCTAAACAAACTCCTCATTCAGTCTCTTTCATTTATTGATCGTCTGTCATCAGTTCATTTTCTTCTGTCGTCCATTTATCAAACCACTGATTCACTCACTCTCTTACTTTTATTTCAAATTTCTATTAATGATAAAATGTCAGACTCCAACTGAATTACCAGTTCAATCAGGTTTTGCATGTTTACAATACTTTGCTAATTCTTTAATTTATTCAGTGTCTTGTTCATTTTGTATGAATGCTCCATCGCGTTGAATGCATCCTGTTCCACTGCATGTTTGCTTCTAAGACTCAGCTTCTATGACTCTGCAATCCCTTCAATCTGAACGTGTTTCTTCATCTACGTTCCTACTCGTCTTTTTTTTCTCCTCCTCAAGATCTAAGAAGTCCAAGCTTTCCATCGACAAATCTACCGAGACCGATAACGGCTACGTGTCGCTGGACGGCCGGGTGACCAATCGCAGCAGTGAGGAGGGACTTCAGCTCCACGAGCAGCGATGTGATTTGTTGAACAGAGCGGACGAGCCGTGCTGGAACTCTCACGTCCAGCCCCCTCACACAGCTCGCAGCACGGGGCTGATGCTGCCCGGTGTCAACAAGGTGATTCATCAACCCACCATTGAATTTACTGTTGAATAGTTTTAGATCCAGACGACCAGGCCCCTCCATATTTGACTTATGTGTTGTGTGTTACAGGAGCCAGCATCAGATGAGGCGTCCAGCGAGGAGGACCCTGAAGCCTCCTACAGCGCCCTCCGCAGGGGGGTTGAAAGAATGAACAGTGACTGTACGCTCAGAAACCGCAAGAACACTCACCACTACAAGAAACACTACGCTGTGGAGGTAAACACACACACACACCCACACACACACAGGGAGGACAGCATGTAAACTTTCCAAATTGGTTTATTTCGTATTTGTCAAAGAAGAAAAAGACGTTAAGGCAACAATCTGTCTCATCTTGTCAGGACGTCCCCAAGTCCGGCACCAGCTGCAGCTCCAGATGTTCCAGTCTGAGGACTCAGGACTCAGAGAGCACGAGACACGAGTCTGAGACGGAGGACCTGATGTGGGAAGACTTCCTGCACTGTGCCGAGTGCAGATCCTCATGTACATCAGAAACAGGTCAGAGGAAAACATCTGCAGAGAACAAAAACAAATATGTTGGTCATTTAATGAGCTCATACATACGTGTCATAGGTCTGAAAGTAACACGCTGTGACCCGTGTTTTTACAGAGGGAGAAGGAGGAACACCCGTGTGCCCTCCTGCTAAGAAGGAATACAGAGACGACCCTTTCCATCAGGTCTGTAAACTTCACAATGTGTTTTAAATATTTACAGAAAGCTTAAAAAAAACTCAGTTATTGTGATTTTAATATGTATCTTCTAGATAACTGATTTACCATTAGTTCAAAATTGAGTTTAAATGCAGTATAAATAATAAGTTACATCGCCATCTATAAAAACTTCTTAGCTAAGTTTACTGACTTGTTTGTTTACTTAATATTCAGGTAGTATTGTTAGATAATATTTAAATAGTACTGTTGGAGTATTAAGTGTTCAAGGCTAAAACAGTGACGTCTGTATTAATGTGACTGAACTGAAGGTGTGTGTGTGTGTGTGTGTGTGTGTTTCTCTGCAGGGTCACGTTCCGTGGCTGCACAGCTCCAACCCCGGCCTGGAGAGAGTGAGTGCTATAGTGTGGGAGGGAAACGAGTGTAAGAAGGCCGACATGTCCGTCCTGGAGATCAGCGGCATGATCATGAACAAAGTGAGTGACTCTGTGGTGGTGACGGTGTTCAGTATGTGACGTAGCCCCGGAGCTCACCTGGTAGAACAGACCTACAGCGACTGGAGGTCTCATGCAGTGGCTGCAGGTTCAGTTCCAACCTGAATCTTTGCTGCTCACTTGCTATGAAGGTTTTTATCTGTGGAAAACAACTGAGCATCACTTGTCAGTAAATTTGAAATCAAAGAAAAATGCTTTGGAAATTGTAGATTTGTTAGATTAGTTAAAACCGTTTATATGAATCACAAACTCACATTTTTTGCTACAGTTGCTGATGTGAATATGTTGCATGTGAAGTTGTGCACATCCACGAATCAGTCTCACATTATGAACCAATATTTTGATTTGTGCACATTTTGTCCATGACCTCACTTTGAATTTAATGAGGTATTTGCTTGTGGAAGATGAACACAAATGCAAAAGTTTGCAAATTCTTTAAGCATAGTTCTCTAATTTTAATTTTCTACAAGTACAAATTCTACTATGACAGATGCTCAGTTGTTTTGCACAAATCGAACCTTCATATCTGAGAACTGAGGAAGAGAAGGATTAAAAAACAATGACTCTGATCATATTGTTTCTGATTCTTCTCCACAGGTGAATCTCTACACGCCTGGTATTGGTTACCAGGTGTTTGGGAACCTGGTTTCAGTGACACTTGGACTCACACCTTTTGTGTACAGGTAAATACAACAAAACAACTCTACTAGAAACTACAGATGACACATTTTCATTATTAGAACAATATTCACTAACAGTCATAAAGGTAAAAAACTCACGTCAGTGTTTGTCCTCTCCTGCAGACTGGCTCAGTACCGAGACTTGGATCAGCTGACCACGCTCTCAGCCACTGAGCTTCTGTCTGTGGCACTGGGGGGTGGGTCCGGATCAGACGCCATGGTCATCACCATGGTAACGCTGAGCTTCCTGGTGCGTGTTTGCCTCACATGGCTCTTCTTCTTCCTGCTCAGCGTAGCAGAGAGGACATACAAACAGGTGAGATCATCACATTCACGTTTTGATGGTGTAGCTAAACCATAAAGCTGAGTAAGATTGTTAACAGTCTGAACCATCGACTTGTTTCAGAGGCTACTGTTCGCTAAGCTGTTTGGTCACCTGACGTCGGCCCGCAGAGCCAGGAAGTCTGAAGTTCCTCATTTCAGACTGAAGAAAGTTCAGAACATCAAGATGTGGCTGTCGCTACGCTCATACCTCAAGGTACCACACACCTTTTCCAACACAAATGCTCAGTGGCTGAACTTGTTAAGTGATTTTAGTTCAGTATTCACAAACTGAGTGACTGTCTGTGCAGAGACGGGGTCCTCAGCGCTCCGTGGACGTGATCGTGTCGTCAGCCTTCCTGCTCACTTTGTCTGTCGTCTTCATCTGCTGTGCTCAGGTATTTAATGAGTCTAACCACTCACATACTACATCTGATTACATCAACATTATAATATTTACGAGCCATGAGCTCATCACATTATGACAAACATCTAAACGTAACAATGTTTAAGTTCTTCCTGACCATCAGAGGCAGTATCTGCATTTCACTGCACAACCAAGTCAAACAAGTTCAGCTTCAGTGTTGATGTGGAGCAGAAGTTACATTTCATTCTTATTTCTGTAGCGACTGGACTTTTTATTAAGAGCATCTGTGTTGTTTATAATAGCCTTAGTTTCCCTTTAAACTTTAGTGGCTGTAAGTTTGTCACAAAGTCTCTATAAACTGAATAACGTACTTATCTCTCTCCGTTCAGTTGCTCCACGTCCACGAGACGTTCCTGGAGTGTCACTATAACTGGGAGCTGGTGATCTGGTGCTCCAGTCTGTCTCTGTTCCTGCTCCGGTTCGTCACTCTGGGCTCCGAGACCAGCAAGAAATACAGCAACACCTCCATACTGCTCACTGAACAGGTACCAACACACAGAAAAGACACACACACGTGAACACACAGCAGACACGTCCCTAAACATTGTTCCTTTGACAGATCAACCTGTATCTGAAGATGGAGAAGAAGCCAAACAAGAAAGAGGAGCTGACTCTAGTCAACAATGTTTTAAAACTGGCTACTAAACTACTCAAGGTAAAGAGACTGACTCATAACTCTTTCGGTCTGATAAAACTAAATATCCAGCACATATTTATGTTTCATAATCTAACTTGTGTGTGTCTCTGTGCAGGAGCTGGATACTCCATTCAGGCTGTACGGTTTGACCATGAACCCTCTGCTCTACAACATCACACAGGTGGTCATCCTGTCGGCCGTGTCAGGAGTCATCTCTGACCTGTTAGGATTTAACCTGAAGGTCAGTGTGTGTTCACCTCACTGTTCTCCCTCATTAGTTCAACCTATGAAGACACATGACCAGTGAATTTCAGTGATTCACAAATCAAACAAATTTGACACGATACACAATTCTTTCAAATGTGTGTCATTAAAGAATGTTCCAGCTTCACAGACACAACTTTATTCATTACTTTGCCGTCTGTGGCGTAAAACACAAAACGCTTCTTAGATGATCTGGTGTCGGCTTTGCTCCATAGCTTCCTCCCTTTTGGTATCAAAACATTGCATCATGTTTGTCGTTTGAAATCTAACAGTATCTTGTTTTCTTTTGTGTTGACAGCTGTGGAAGATCAAATCGTGACAGTGAAAAGAGGAAGCGTGTCTACGTCACTGACTGAAAGACTGAACGTCAGTCTCAACATATCGGAGCTCTGACTTTCAACGTTCTCACTTTGTGCAATTCACAAACTATTTATTTACCCACTCAGTGTTTTTACTTAGGGTTTCTTTGAATTCTAGTTTGTTTCTATTTTGTGTTTTATTGCACAAAACAATGCTATATTATTTTACCTGTCAACACAAAGTATTATAAGCATAAATTATTATTGTTATTGTGATAGTTTAGGTTCTCCGCTGCAGTTTTCATTTCAGCTTATTGGCAAATTTGAAGGTTTTGAACTGGCAGAAATCTTTGTATTGTCATATCTGTGTTTTATTTGCTGAAAGTTGAAACTGAAAATTATTTATGTTCAGTGAGTTTCAAAACGGAACTTTGTTATTACCTTAAAATCAGTTTTTAAAAATACTTAAGTTAGTCCAGTGGTTTTCTTCTCAAATGACTTTCTAAAGAAGAAAAATTTAAAATCTCTTAGACCATCGATGTAGTACATAAAACCTCAGCGTATATCAAGATCAAACTACAATTGTAGGGACTCTTAATTATCCTAAACTAAAAATAACAAAAATCCTGGTATTTTGACAAAAGAATGTAAAAATTGTTTTCAAATTCCTCTGTATCTGAAAATTAATTACTACTCTGTTCAAACCAGCGCTCTGATTTTAAAGCATAAAACAGTATTGGATGTTAACAGAACAGTTTGGTAGGTGACGTTTTTTTGCCGACTTACCTGAGAAAATTGTTCCTGGTTTTGTTCGTACATTGAAATACCAGCCGATGTCAGCACTGCAAAGAAACAATCATCCAGTTAATGGAAACAACATGTGGGATAGGTGACATTAACTCTGGAGTTAGAGTTAAACATGTATTAACACAGTCAAGGGTTTGCTGAAGGTCACTTCACTGCAGCAAGTTAAATCAAATCAAATACCCTTTTGTATTTGTTTACTTTTTTTCCTGAACAGTATTTCTAGCAACATATGAAGGTAAAAACTGATCTGATGTAGTTCACGTTATTTTCATACTCAGTTTGGTACAATATGCAGGTAATGAATGAGCTTCCAAACAGCTTCTTAAGTGGAGCTTGATGGTTGTTTACCTCAAGCTTTTTTAAACGTTCTGCTCAGATTGATCCTATAGGTGAATTGCTGCGTATTAATTAACTTCCTAACTTCCCTACTTTTTATGTTATATAGACAAATATCAGCGGCTTGTTTGTAATCAGTCAGAATTAGATTATTTAGGAAATTAAAATGTCAAATTCATATTTGATATCAGACTCCCAGAGTTACTTAAGACGGTAGATTAATGTGTATGGCACGAGACAGTTCGTCCTCTGCCCGTCATAGGCTTCTTCCCCTGCAGTTACAACTTGAGCGTGATTGAAGATATGCACTTTAGAAAAAAACAGATTTTAAATGGAAGAAAAAGAAGTTTCATCTCGTCTCAATGTGATCTTAATATTCACATCGTTCATTCTAAATGGTACGTGAAGTTATCATGCTCGCAGAAAATATCACGTGACGTAAATTGTTGCCTCAGTTATGGTTTAGCACGTTGCTGACTGAAACTAACGTCACTCATTAAAATGTTAGCATAATTATCTTCAGTGTGTTTGATGACGAAGACCAAAGTGCTTATTGTTTGTTTTTCTTGTTCTCTGCTGAAAAAAAGAATGTAATTGCAGCGTTATGCTTTAAAATCTGTTTCCCTTTGGAAATTCTTCAAGTTGTATTTTTTTCTTTTTGACCTTTCGCTTTTTGTTGTCTCACTTTCTCTTTTGTTAAGATTGTTTGTCCCTCAACCTTGTTGAACACATGTTTTGCCATGTTTTTAAGGAACAAAGACGTTTGACTTGTATGTATGAAAGGAGTCTAGGTAAAAAAAACAATGTTGTGATTCTGTTTTCCAGAACAGAAGATTTTTTTTGGTGAACCGGTCTGTCCACACGGTCTACATTTTTATAAGAAAAATAAAAGAAATGGTTGTTGACTTGCTAATGATTTGTTGTCTTTCAGAGAAAAAGAAACTGCATACGGTAGTTTAGTATGCCGTCCAAGGCCTCGAAAAAATGACAGTTTAGTATGCCGTCCTAATACTCGAAAAAGCAACGTAGTAAAGTACGGCTTTACAAATTTCAAAAAACGAAATGACTTTCTAAATCTCGAAAAAACGACAGTATAGTATGACTTTCTAATTCTCCCAAAATCGACATAGTATAGTATGACTTTCTAAAATCT